CTTCCTCATTCGGCAAAGGCCCCACTCTTTCCCGCCCTGGCGCACCTGGGACACTTGGGACGCCGATGCGAACTGCTTCATTCGGGCCTGCATTTATGGCACTGCAGAGAGCCACTGTGCTTGTGCTGATGGCGGTGGCCTGCGCGATAGCTGAGGTTTTGGTGTTGCGTAGACGAGGCGGAGGCAGAAAAGACGCTGCATGATATATGGACAACTGTCTTTAGTGCTCGATGAGAAATCCGCGCTTATTGCCTGGTGACATATTTTGATTGGCTCGTCAGAACTCACTCATAATCGAAGATACACGGTCTGCACGGCATGCATGAAGTTACCTACTATGCAGCCGCATGGGCAGGCTGTATGTATGCACCTGTCCACTGCTCTCGCACAGTCAGAAGCGATTCACAGTTGATGAGGAGATGCAGAGATTCACGCAGTGTTGCAGATTGCTTCGAAATGATGCATGCCGGAGAATATCGAGATAAAATGCCCTGTGTTGCTAGTGTCCCGTGGTGCTTTGCTAATCTATGAATATCGCGGCCAGGGAGGTCCCAGCAGCTCATCCACTCCGCGTAAGATCTCTTCCTGGGACTGCACATGTACTTGTCCGTTAGACGCTGTCGGCATATAGAAAGAGCCAGGAGTATCTGCCCTGACTGGTACCTGCCTTCGTGCCCTAGCCAGTGTCCGAGCTGAGAAAAATCCCCTTTGGCCCTTTCTTGATTGTTTTAGCCTTCTTGTCCATACTATTGCTCTTGAGCCGGGCGGCGCTCTTGGGTGGGATCACGCCTGCCTCAGGGACTATCGGGGTCTGCGCTCCAGCGGGGAGCATTGGCATTGTCGGCTGCGGCGTGGCGCGAGAGAGCATCGATGAGAGTTCATTGTAAAGTTGCTGTACCACTCCGAACAGCTCAGACTGGGCATTGCGTTCGCACTCGGCGATCTCCTGAAGGCGTGACAAGTCATGTGGGAGGGTTCGGCAGTCCTCGTCGTCAGCCCGCGAAATCGTGAGTTGAGATGCTGGTAATGCCAGTGGAGGTTCTGGCAGGTTGATTGTCAACAACGATGGGTAGTCCGTGGTGCATGCAACACTAACACCGTCGCGCGATTGGGCCGATGTGATCCAGCTGGTGAGTTCTCTGGCATTCAGCCACAGCTCGGACACTCCCTGGGTGGTGCTGATTGTGATTTCACCGAAGTCGTGAAGAGGTTTTGGGTCCGGCTGACTAGGAAAAAGGGACACCGAAAAGGTGAACAGCTCAAACCGTTTGGGAGGAAGAGGAACCGTGACTTTATAATGGGGAAGTTCAGGAGGCTCAAGCCGTTCAGGAGGAAGAGGAGTCGCGACTTTATGTTGAGTCGGAAGTTCAGGAGGTTCAGGGCATTGTTTCGGAGGCTCTTTCTCAGGGATTTTGAAGAAACTGATAGTGTGGCGGCTGATGGGAACCTCTCCACGACGAAGTACTCCCACGATGTAGCACGGAGAAGCCGGAAAATTTCCGGCATCTGGAGGAAGCAGCGTGAATACCAAGAATGTTGGCTTCGGCGGGGCAGTGCGATCTTGAGGATAATAATACATGCGGGACGGCGATTGCAGAGGTGGTCGTGAATGGGAAAACTGCACAGCGGAGACGAGGCTTTGCCGTACATATATTGCTCTGATTGTGAATGGTGCTCTGCCCTTGGGAGAGGCCGTCCTTTATTTGATCAAGGAGCTTCGTTGGCTGGCCCATATCACACAGCAAGGCTACCCCCATATCAGGGGCGCGGCGAGTGCAACCAAAGCAGATATGATCTGTCGAGCCTAGTGCCACTGCATCTGCCCGTGGAGGGTCGTCATCAGACCACTGGGTGGCTGGGCTGTCGGGTCAAGGGTGATGCCGTGCTGCGGGCGGCAGGCATTGCTGCTGGTTCGCGCTTGAGGCAGGACTAGGGCGCAAGTACCTCAACGCCTTCCGTCAGCAGCCCTCGTCCTGGCGGTTGATGCTGAGAGCAGACAGAACAGGGGCCGGGGAAGCACACGGGCGTTTCCGAACATGCTCGGGTGTGGTTCAGTGCTTGGCGGTAAGAGCTTCGAGCTGCGGAGCCTGCAAGGGCCTGGACGTAAGCCGCTTTCTATTTCTGCCCCACTCGTCCGCAATCCCTGTAGCTGAAAACAGAATGCAGGAACCAGATGCAGATACTTTGGCACCGTGTGAAAGTCCCCCCGAAGGACACGTCCCACTCAGCCATGCTCGCGACGCTCTGGCTCCCGCACAACGCTTGTGCTTTTTGCACAAAATGCTCGGCACAGCCTGGCGCGCTACACAGTTGCACAACGCGCCGTCCAGGCCCCGCAAATTTCCACCATGGGAGCCAAGAATCGTGCGACGCCAAAAGTGGCCCTGCCAATCACGCTGCGAAACAGGGTGTGGTGGCTGGAGCCGATTCTGGCTGAAGAATACAACCGACCGAGCACATTGTCTCTGAGAAGTGCAGCAAGAGGCGGAATTGCAGGCGGGCTGGGCCGGTAGGGCAGATCTGCAGGTAGAGACGAGCTTCCAGCTGCGAATGCGGCTCGTCCAACCATTTCGAACCAGTTGAGGCATAATTGTCGACTATCATCGGCATGTTCAAGGCAACCCCGCTAGGTTGGCGCCGTTACGTAACGGCACTGAGACATCGCAGCCGCATCATGAGGGTCACCTATGCAGCTGCCATAGCCGTGCGCCTCATGGGCGGCAGTACATCAGCTTTCTGCAAATTCACATGTCAGGACTGCGCAGAGACTGAACCGTGGCAGAACATGCTCGGCCGCGATGGTAGCAGGAGTCCGGAGCGTTTCAACTCAGCATATTGATCATTCAAAGAAGCCTGAGATATTTGGCCACGTGCAGTCTGGTTAGTCTCGACTTGCATTGCTGTGAAGCGAAGTTCTATCATAGGACGATGATCTACTGAGTCTACGAATCATGCAACTGTTGTATCTGCTGTGCGCTGCGAAGACGGGGAGGGTAGGCGGGGCCTGTCAAGCTCCCAACCTTGCGTTTGGACAAAGTGTTGATATAAGTCATCCTCCTCCAAGTACTGCGCTTCTCGTCCCTTGACAAAGAGCTGCGCATCAGGAGAACAGATAATGGAGCTGAGGGCGCGCAGTGCACCATCAGAGAGCCTCTTCATCAACTCCCGCCCGAGCTTCTCATGGAGGTGTACATGAGTCGGCATGAAATACCTTGCCACAATCTGGGCTGCTTCGGAAGGCTCTGCTTCAGTGGAGTCACAAACCCGGGATGCCGGCTCCTGGACGTCCGGCACCAACATCATGCTGTATGCGCAGAAGTCACGGCCTGCAACCGCCACTGTCACCTCTGCTGCGACCATGTAATCGTCGGCGACCCCCTTGGCCTCAACTTCGGCAATATACCATTGCAAAGCTGCCAGTGATAGATTGCGAGCCCATATCATGGTCAGCTGCTCTTCGATATTGCAAGATCGCCATGCATGCTTAACAACGTCTAGTTTCTGCTCCACCGTCGTGTCGATCGAGCTGTCGCTGACCAGAGCGCAGAGATGTCGAATGATTGAGTGTGTCTGTGACTGGATGATACGCGCGGCGAGCCGCCTTTTCTCGGCGTCGATCGCCAAGCTGGTGTGTCTTGATAGCTGTGCAAGCCGCGGAGGGAAAAGTTTATTGTGAGAGATTGCGTACTCGAGAGCATCCTGTCCTAGATGATCTCTTACATGGACATCCGCGCCAAGGTTAAGCAGCAGGTCCACTGTGTCTGTCTCTTCGGACTGGATTGCGATGTGAAGTGCCGTTCCGTCCCGGCCTAAAACGTTGACATCGACGTGGAAATCTCTGACAAGAGACTCGATCATATCTTCTCTCTGCTTGCGATCATCCAACATCATGGCATACTGAATGAGGAGTGTGCCTCTGAAGTACACCGATGGTAAGCTTGAACACTGTGCTAGGAAGCGGAGCACTCCTAGCTGCCCGACTTGTATAGCTCGAACCGCCAGCACCTCCTCGAGTGGGCAGGTGTTTGCCCCTTCGATAAGGCGGTGTTGGACTGCTGCCCACTGCCCACTGTCAATTGCATTATCGATCGGTGTTGCCAGGCTGCGATCCTCGACCACACAGTGGAACTCCTCGTCCAGATATTCCAAGAGTTCAACATCTCCATGTGCTGCTGCACAGATGCAGGACAATCGGAGGACATCACGGGAGGGGTGTCTGGTCAGGCGATACAGAGCAGCTTCGAATCGATGCCGTGAACCGCTCCGGGCTTCTGCCAAGAGGGTTTGTTCGGGGAAGTGTTGCTTCGATGCGGTCAGCTGCTTGCTGAGTTGCTCGATATATTCGTCAGCGTCCTCGAAGCGTCCGCAAAGGACTAAGGCTACAGCGCTGGCTTCGTTCCATTTCGCCGACATCGGAGAGCGGCTTTGTTGTAACGAACTCATCAAGTATTGAGCGCTTTGTTCGATATAATCGTCCTGCACTTCAGGCAGCCTGCCATAAACCCAGTCCAAAAGCTGTGTAATGCCTTCTTCATCGTCGACGGGAGTGTAGCCTTCAGGCAATTGTGCATAATATGGGTGTTGCATCTTGGCTGACCATGGATCGCGCGAAGGTAGATGAGAAGGATACGTGAGTCTCATGGCAGGCACTTGCTCGTAAGGACGAGAGTTCGGTCCCGTATTTACGCTGTGGAAGCTATATCTAGCAACTGAAGCCATTAATGGCTCCGGGAAACCACACCTTTCTGAGGTATATGGAGAGGGGTGCAGGAGAACTCGCCGCCAGAGCGCCGGACATGAGAGACTGCGGCGTTGTCCTTGTACACTTGTACGGCAAGAAAGTGGATAGAGCAGCTCTCCAGCCGTCCAGACGTCAACGTCCTGCAGACCCTTCATCACGCCCGCGCATCTGATTCTTGTTTGTTGCCGTATGTGGTAGATCCTGCCCCACACCAAACAATAGCCATATCGCGATTTTCACATTTCGTGTACGCGGACTCGCTAGACCATCGACTACTACATAGATGAGATGGCAGTGCAGTTCGACGGCCTGTCTTAAGAGCTAGCCTATAATTCAAGGGCTCAAATAATGTATGAAACGTATATGAATGACGGAGGGTTTCTTGACAGCCATTTCTTCCATTAGTTGGGCCCCCCACGGCCGGACGTGGACCCGACTGGTTTCAACTTCGTAGTCTTCGCAGTCCGTATGGAGCCATGTTATTAAAGTGCCAATGTTTTATTGATGCTACGGAAGGACGCAGAGACAATGGCTCCGTAACTGAGATTTCCCCACTCTTGAGCTTGACTGCCGCAAGGTAGTAGATGATCCTTTTCCCTGGTTGGCACTCTCCCTGGTGAGCTCCGTGCCCAACTTCTGCGATATCCTAGGTACCGGCCACACGCCCTATGGGAGTGCTGCCTGCTGCCTGCTGCCTGCCTTCCTCGATCTCCTTAGGTCTTGAGGCGTCGTCAATCGGACGAAGGTGGCGTATTACAAGCAGTGGCACCGCAGGTGTAACTGACAGTCATCCCTTCCAAGTATGTGGGGAGGCATCTAGTCGGGTCTTCACAGGGATTTCGGCGATCTTTATAGATATGACCGCAGCTGAAGCGGTCGGTGTAGATGGTACACATGTTCTATGAATTGTCAGCTTCATTGTGGTCCAGGTTATACATCGAAAGCACATACGATTCGGCTGAAAAGCAGAGATCAATTGCAGGGCAGGCAATAGTTGATGATGGTTGATTTGCGTAATGAGCCGGTTTGTCGCTAAATGCACGGAAAAGGCAAATGCTGGTCTTTGATGCCCAAGGCCGGAGCTGTCCAGACCATTATAAATACTCCTTCGAAAGCCCCAGATCCAAAGCCGCGCGTGGAAGACCGCCAACGCGCCTCTCAAATTAGACGAGGCTGGAAGCCCAGGCATCAACGTCGCAGGCGCTTCGCTTCACAAAGGGCCAATGAAAGTCTGTGATAGAGGCCAAAAATAGCGGGACATGTGAGTCATATGGCGCCTTCATGATGACTGCATGCTTGCTTCACCAATCAGAGCAAATCAGGGGTCTCCGTAGTGCACATGTTGGTTGATGCGGGACAATCAGGGTTATCTGCCTCGGCCGTAGCATCTTTGTCACTGTTCAAGCTTGACGCACCGCCGCTGCGTGATGCACAATGTTGAATTTGTGTGACCGACGTAGCTCTGCTGAATCCATTATCCATCGAATCTAGTACGGATGGCCGTTGTCTAAAGCTGTTTGTCTTGTTGCATTGTCCCTCCAATTCACTCCATCGTTGATTTTCCGTCGATCTGTGGAGCCAATTCTTCGCTGGCAGCATCTAGGGACAGCCAAGATCCGTTTGCCAGCATAGTCCTTCCAGTCGACATGAAACGGCAGATATTGATTTGCGTATGCGCCTTTGTCCTCATCCATCTCAATGATGTTAATCTGAAGCACCTCGGGATCCTGATCGTGCGCAGGAATTAGGTGATCAAATGTGACACCATAATAGTCGATCTCGCTGGTCCGGTTATTAAAATATTAATAACGAGTTGGGAGCCGGAGAAACAATGGCCAGCTCGGCGTGATGTGAGCTTACCTTCTTCTTGGAACCCAGCCGAGGTACTCGTCACGTACGACGAGGTCTCCCTCGATGTCGGGGCGATATCGCTGACCATAGATCTTCTCGTAAGTCAGTTCCGCAAGACGGCGCCCTGCAAGTTGGGGAAATGGCGCCGGCACACTGCTGACGTCCCACGGCGTGTCTGGGAATAGCTTCGCGATGGATACCAAAGGTCCCTCGATCTGGATGCGAAGGGGTTTATCAGACGGTGGCGGATGAAGAGCAGAGGCTGGTCTGCAAATGCACTCTATAATGTGAAGTTCGGGAGCCATTTGACCTGTGAAGCGTCGCGGTACTGATTGAGATAATTCAATCCTGTTATGACACGTTGAGAGAAGAAGTCAGAGGAGCCGCGCAAGCTGGCGATTCAAGCACTGACCACTACATACGCTGTTTGATGCACGGCCTTCGGGGCGGTGTACCACTTGTGACCCGTCTCCAACTAGAGCACTGATTGGTGGAGCAAGCATGCAATCACTACGCAGGCAGCCACAGACTTGCTTGCCATATTGCGTGGCTGAAACTTGCAAAGCCACCAGAGCTGTGGCTCGTTGTGGTGGAGATCGGGCGGTCGGTCGCACTAGCCACAAAGAGCTTGCTTACCTCCACGGCAACAGATCACTCCAGTTGCAGGGGGCCTTGGAAGTCTGGCTGCATTGTTTATGAATGCACTGGACCCGTCAAGCCATAAAGGGACTTCGCATGTAACTCTGCGTCGCGACTGAAAATGGGGGATTGGATCGGAGCCGTTTTTAGCTTGCCTATTACTGGCAACTGCAGTGACCTCGTTACCCACTTTGCATTGGGTGGTAGACAGGGGCACGAGAGTCGATCAGGGATCGCGCGAATGTAGATGAGAAGGATACGTGAGTCTCATGGCAGGCACTTGCTCGTAAGGACGAGAGTTCGGTCCCGTATTTCCGCTGTGAAAGCTAGATACTGCCTAATTAAGCCATTCATGGCTTCGTATATCGCGTCACATCAGGCCGATTCAATCTAGGGCGGATTGGCAACTGGTCCAATGAGACTCGACAAGAAGCGCAGCGCGGCGGTCCTGGCCCTTCACGGCCTGAGATTGGAACGGAACCCACACGAAATTTTGGCGGCCGGTATGTGCGTCCCCAAGCGGACCAAAGGATTATGGAGATGTGATGAGCTCAGAGAAGCCAAAAATAGAGGGGAAGTCCAGGTTGTATCGACAAGAAATAGTACAGTACCGAACAGCCTATACACAGTCCTAAGCTACGACTTGGTTGGGATTGTAGAGCTCGTTGATACTTTGCGTGTATGGCTTCCGAATGCATGGGTGGGCAGGACATCGCGCGCAGACGCCAATATGCCTTTCCGCCGCGTCCATGCACCTTTCTTGCTTGCCAAGCTTATGCCGAAGGAATGCCGTGCGAGACTGTGCCTCTCCTCAACGAGACTGGGGAGTCTTTGTAGGTCGTCGGTAGGGCTTGTTATATGTAGCAGAATCCGAGCCTTCAGATCAGGAAACAGAAACCTCATTGCTTCATTATTTTCTTCAGCTGCAGGGATCGCGGACGAGGGGGGCTGAAATAAAAAGCGGCGTTCGCCCAGGCTCTGCAGCTCGAAGCTCTTACTGTCACACTCCTCTCTCACCATGCTCATGTTGCCAGTCGAGCTAGTCGTGGCTGTCCTCGAGGAGTTAGAAACGCCTATAGATATCGCTAATTTAAGACTAGTCTGCAAGCCCCTCGCCGCGATCGCCGGGCAACAGCATGCCAGACATCTCTTCGTATCCCATTCAGTCTCCTCCTTACAACAGTTCTCCAGATTTGCGGACCGACATGTAGCCTTTGTGGGCTATACAAAGCACCTAACTATCAAGTGTAGCCAATGGTTAAGTAGCACCGAAATAGAAGCAGAAATACAGGCTACCTCACTCGACACGCCAGACGGAATTGTCCGAGACGACATCTCGCCTATGCGAATTTGGGGCAACGATATACTAACTGAAGAGACGCGTATATCCTATATAAAAGATCTCGAGGCTATTTTAAACAGACTACCACACCTATCACGGATCACGCTTACTGACGACCTTCGACTTGAGGCGATATCTATGCCGGACCATCTTAGCCATCGTGCATGGCTGCAGATGCTTCAAGGACGCTCTTTCGGTTCTACCGTTGTAAGGATCCTCGGGCTACTTAACAATTTTGGATATTTCTCGCATATACAGATCAGCGGCCGTATAAATCTGCTCGATCTCAATTCGGCCCCGCCGCTCCTCCTAGCTCATATGAGGAACTTTCACCTGGATTCTCCCTCTTTAGCTCTGTTAAGGAAAGTCGTTACCGGCAATCTAGAATGCCTAAGGCTTCAGAACTCGACTGTTGTTAACTCGGACGTTGAGTTCTTCGTTCGAACCCACCAGTCATTGAGAGAGGTCGCGCTTCAAAACGTCAGGATCATGGCGACGATGTGGTCACAATTTGAAGTACTAGTCTGTGGATCGAATGTTACGCTGCTCTGTAGCTAAGACTACTAGAATATATCTTTTGTCTTAGCCGTACATACTCTCTGCTCTTCGAGGGCAACCTCAAACAGTGCCTTGTCCTCACATGTATACCAGTCATGGAACCCGTCTGCTAATGGGCACGGACTGCCTACTCGACGTCGCCTGCGACAGCAGCATAGCAAGTCCAATGATTCCTCAATCCGGTAGTAAGGTCTCGCAACGTCCCACAGACATTCTTTGGATCGTGCACAAAGACAGACACCTGTCTCATTACATGGGCGGTGAGTCCAGCGAACCGACTTTTCTTGTGCAGTGTGTCGAGGCTCCCACCAGCAACACTCCACCACAGAATTGCGACAGGCTCTTGGCTGGCCGTTTCCATCTTCGAACAGGGATATCTGACAACGCGCTGTCAGGACTGATTGAATATCAGACGATTATTCAACCTCGCCAGGAGCCGGTAGTGGAGGGTGGAGATAACTGTACCTGGGCGTTGAAGCAGGAACCTTGCAAGATCTGCAGATACCGCACAACTGAAGGACCATCCCGCCCAATACTTCCATCGCTCGTGATTATCCCAGCGGAACTGCTCGATCCAGTACGTCTCCTCAAGCAGAAGATATCGGCAATATTCCTGGAAGAAGCACTGCTGATTAGCCCAGTCGAGGAGATTCTCGGCACTGCACAGGCGGAGAATCTCAGTCCACAGCTCCGCGGGGAGGCGATAAGCGGCCATGATGTGGCTGAATGTGACAACAATACGCTATAGCAGATGGGGTAGGTGCCACCCAGCCTTTATAGGTACGGTGCAAGCATATTCCTTGCACAATATTGGCGCTTGCAAACCGACCATTGTGACGACCCATAAGGATTCGTGAGATGCTAACCAACCAAGTACATGTTATATGCATCAGACTCTTACTGTGTGCACGGAAAAACCTTCCGCGGCGATAACCCTGGCCAGGTGGTGTGCTTGAAGGAGTTGCAGCACCAGGCGCACACCGTGCGCACCACAGGGCTGCGACCAGCACCATGCAGGATGAGATACTTGAAGGAACGTACGATTGAAAGCATGCACGAGGAGGTCCCTGCACAATGAGAAGAGTTCGTGAGAATGCATGGTGGCGTTTGACAGATGTGTTGAATGCAATAGATCAAGCCGCTCCCGCACGGATGATCTTAAAGGTGTTGGTGGCGTAGGCGGAAACCGGTTGCAACATCCTGGCTGCAGAATACGGGTCCGATGGGCTGACCGCGGACTGTTGAGGCTGTGCGTCGAGCCTTTGAGATATAAGAATGAGTCCGCCTGCCCGTTGCTGAGCTCCCTTTCAGAACTCACGCCGCAGCAGTTTTTCCTTCGATTCAGGACAACAGACACATTTGCTATCCCTTCAGCATGGCCACCAAGGCGGACACGACCGGTACATCACCCGTTAGCCATGGAGCTGAGGCACAACAGCCCTCCCGGCCCAACTCCCACGCCGACAATGAGGAGGCCGACGCTCCAGTCTCGCATGCCTCGCTCAGATCCTCGAGATGCGGACGGATCAACTCCCTAGCAACCGACCTTGCTGAGGAATACATGTTGCTTGAGGACATGAGTCTTGTCATCGAAAAGGATTCAGATGATCTTTCCCGAAATATCGCGGCGGCTCTAGAAGGCAAAGATCTACAGCTATTTTGCAAAATGGCTAATGATATTGGGTTTCCGTTGGAGTTGTGCCTGAGGACACCCAAACCCAATGTGGCCTTC